CCAAGTTCTTTACTTCTCAATTTTCAAAAGGTGGAAGGTAATTTTTGCTTCTTGGCAGCGGAAGCTAGTCTCAAAAGTTAGGGTGTTTGGTGCAGCTAGACCTTTTGGACTTCAAAAGGTATTCCAACCAGCTGCACCAAACACCCACTAAATGTTAATATTTTAGTTTTGCCAAGAAATAGAAATGCCTTAGTATTTTTTTCTTTATTTATAAATGATAATATGGAAAGATAAATGTTAATTATTATAATAAATAAATTCCTTAGTATTGTAAATGGATAAATTGGGATAATTCAATCTAACCAAAGAGTACAATTTTTGCACATTTTCAATTAATGTTGGTTAATCCACTAATTCTTTTATAAGACAGACGAATTGGTTAAAACATTTATAGGAGAGGGGATGAGAAGCGACAATGAAAGTTCAAAACCTAATAATACTAGAAAAATTCGACTAGCTACTTTACTAACTTCCTCGTCAATTGGTTAATTCTTAATTCAACTTTTTATATCAATATCTAACCAATAATGTATAGTATGTTCAATTACGTCATATTTAGTTTAAAGAGAATAGAGAAGAGAGGCGAGAAGGAAAAAAAATTTTAACTAATCGAGTTATAATATTTAAAAATGTTATAATTGTTGAAAATTAGATCATATTATTTAGCCATTATCTCTATATTTTAGGAAGTATAAGTTATTTATTTGTTTTAGGTTGTTATCATTTAAATTAGATTAGATAAGATTGGTTAGTTATCTTTTTAGATAATATTATCTTGTAAAGCCTGTTTAAAGGCTAGGTTATTTTTAGTTTAATGAGAGATTCAGTTTTTCATTCCATCTTTTTCTTTTCGAGAATCCTTGATTTTTTAACATTTGGTATTAGAGCCAATTCCAGAAAAATTCCATGGCTTCCGAAAATTATGTTCAGCCCTCAATCCCTCGTTTTGATGGTCAACGACCATTGGAGTATGTTGATGGAGAATTTTCTCCGGTCCAAAGAGTATTGGACTATTGTTGAAGCTGGAGTTCCAGAACCAGCGACAAGTGCAAATGATGCACAGAGGGCAAAAATTGAGAAGGAAAAATTGAAGGATCTCAAGGCTAAGAACTATTGGTTCCAAGTCATAGATCGGGCTATCTTGGAAACAATTCTTAACAAGTCTACTTCCAATAATATTTGGGATTCCATGAAAAAGAAGTACCAGGGGAATGAAAGAGCAAAGCGGCAATAGTGCCAGGCTTTGTGGGCAGAATTCGAAGTTCTGTAGATGCATATTGGTGAATATGTAGATAATTATTTTGCAAGGACAATGGCTATTGCAAACAAGATGAGGATCCATGGTGAAAATCTGGAGGATGTTGCCATAGTTGAGAAAATCCTTCGGTTTATGACAACAAAATTCAATTATGTTGTTTGTTCAATTGAGGAGTCAAATAATATTGAGGCTCTTTCCGTTGATGAGTTGCAGGATTTATTGTTAATTCATAAGCGGAAGATAAATCGCCAAGACAAGCAAGAGCAAGCAGTGCAGATTTCGCAGACACAAGCCTTGCAGACCACAGTTAATTCAAAGGCTGTAGGTCAAGGAAAAGAAATCTAGAAAGGCAGACCAAGATCTGGCAGACCGAGATCTGATAGATTGGAGGAAAGTTCAACCACTGGAATTCAGAAAAGGTGGCAGAACAGAAATTATCAAGCTGCAGATAACAGATCCAAATCTACAGGAAAGGCAAACATTGAATGCTTTAGATGTCATGAGTATGGCCATTATCGTTCTGAGTGCCGTGTTAATCTAAATAGAGGACAAAGTTCCAATTTTGCAGAACACAACAAGAAGAATGATGATTCCTCTCTATTCATGGTCTGCCATCCTAAAGAAGTCAGTAAGAAGAATGTGTGGTATCTGGATATTGGTTGCAGCAATCACATGTGTGGAGATAAATCTGTGTTTTCAGATTTGGATGAGTCTTGTCAAGACAAGGTGAAATTTGGTGATAATTCCACTATTGCAGTCAAGGGAAAGGGAAAGGGAAAGGTAACCATTCGTACCAAAGACAATTCAATTCAGACTATTTCTAATGTTTTGTATGTACCAAATTTGAAGTCAAATCTGCTTAGTCGGGGATAGCTTTAGGAAAAAGGATATGAAATCCTTATTAAAGATGGTGTTTGCCAAATTCGTGATTCAAAACTTGGCCTGATTGCAAAGGTCAAGATGACGGGAAATAGGTTGTTTTCATTATATTTGCAGACCACAAATCTATCATGTTTATCTGCCAGATTAAAAGACACAGCTTGGTTATGGCATTGCCGATTTGGACATCTTTATTTTGGTGGGTTGAAAGCTTTGCAGCAGAAGAAGATGGTAAATGGTCTTCCTCATTTTGATTCTCCTTTAGAAATTTATGAAATCTGCGTGGTCAGTAAACAGCACCGTGACAGCTTTCCTAAAGACAGATCTTGAAGAGCAAAGCAGGTGCTAGATCTAGTTTATGCTGATCTGTGTGGACACATAAATCCAACATCCAATGGAGGTAAACAATACTTTATTACCTTTGTTGATGATTACAGTCGCAAAACATGGGTGTATTTTTTGCAGACCAAGTCAGAAGCTTTAGCAGCCTTTAAAAATTTCAAAGTCTTGGCTGAGAATGAGGTTGGCAGATCTGTAAAGGTTCTGTGTACAGATCGTGGTGGTGAGTTTAATTCAAAGGAATTTGTAGATTTTTGTGAGTCCCATGGCATTAAAAGGCAACTCACAGCAGCCTATACACCTCAGCAAAATAGCGTATGTGAGAGGAGGAATCGCACAATCATGAATATGGTGCAAAGTTTGATGTCAAAGAACGGCTTGTCTTAGGAGTTTTGCCCAGAAGCCGTTAATTGGAGTGTTCATATCTTGAACAGAAGTCCCACATCTCCACTTCCAGATTTGAGACCAGAAGAGGCTTGGAGTGGATGTAGACCTGCTGTTGATTACTTCAGAATTTTTGGCTGCATAGCATATGCACATGTGCCAGATCAGAAAAGGAGTAAGCTTGATGACAAAGGGGAAAAGTGTATTTTCCTTGGTGTTAGTGATCAATCCAAAACTTACAGATTATACAATCCTTTAACCAAGAAGGTCATCATTAGTCATGATGTGGTGTTTGATGAAGCAAGCACTTGGTCTTGGACAGAAAAATCTGGGCAACAGATTCCTACAGATTTCGAAAATGGAGAAGATTTGACTGTGCAAAACTTAGAAAGCCAAACTTTAGCAGATCTCTAGGTGTCAAGACAGACAGCTGAAGAAAGTTTGCCTACAGAAGTAGAGCTCAGTACTGAAGGAAGTTTGCCAACAACACCAGAACTGGAATCTGGAACTAGTTCCAAACCTCAAAACAAAAAGAGAAGACCAGCATGATTGGAAGATTATGAGGTAACAGATCTACCTCAAGATGATGTTCAAGTTAATCATTTTGCTTCATTTGTAGATTGTGATCCATTGACATATGAAGAAGCTGTTAAAGAGGAAAAGTGGCAAAAGGCCATGGCAGAAGAAATTGGTTCTATTGAAAGGAACCAGACTTGGGAGTTGACAGATCTTCCAAAAAGGCACAAAAAAATTGGTGTTAAGTGGATCTACAAGACAAAGCTCAAAGAGAATGGGGCGGTTGACAAATTCAAAGCTCCCTTGGTGGCAATGGGTTACAAGTAAGAGTTTGGCATTGATTATCAAGAAGTTTTTGCTCCAGTTGCAAGGATGGATACCATCAGATTGGTGATTGCATTGGCAGCACAGAACTCATGGTTGATCTACCAGCTTGATGTGAAATCTGCCTTCTTGCATGGAAATTTGTAAGAACAGGTATTTATTAATCAACCTCCTGGTTATATAAAATCTGGTTCTGAGCATAAGGTTTACAGATTGAAGAAAGCATTATATGGACTAAAACAAGAACCTAGAGCTTGGTATAGTCGAATTGATGCTTATTTTTTGAAGGAAGGTTTTCAAAAGTGCCCTTATGAGCATACACTTTACATTAAAT